CACTAAGCACTGGATTGAACTTGTAGAAATCCTATTATTTTGAGGAGTTTTTTGCACTGTCAGTGTTGAAATTAACACTGGATACCCTTTTGTCGTAGAGTTTGATTAGAATTCCTTTCTTCGCCACTGTTGTAGACACTAGCAATTTTTTTTTATGATTTAACGTGAAGTACGTTTCTTCGAATCCTTCGTCACCAAGAAGTTGTGACCGAGTAAATGGTTAAAGAAATAACAAAACAAATGTTGCAGATATATCATATATTAAACAGTAAGTACAACAGAAGCTAGTGAGTGTGGGTCGGTTGACCCAGCGTTCAATCTATTCGACTGTTCCTCCAATTCGACTGTTCCTAATTTTATAGTAGGCGGAAGAGTCCAACATAGACTCTTTAGAGGGAGGGCACCACAACATAATCCTCCCTCGTCAAATCATTTCCCCCCTTCATCGGTACAGGTTACTAAGGCCTAGCGATTTAATCTTCCTTATTTCTATGCCGGGAATTCTTTTTACAGTAAGGTTCACATTTTATAAGGCCCGGGGGCCAGTTGAGGTAGGGTGTTAAGTGGTAGTTTATATGGATAGAAGGGGAAGGTTAACTTTATACTTGAACAGGTTAAGATTGTAGTGATCGGGGAAACATCCAGTGATTCGCGGGAAGAAGCGATTCTAATGGAATACAGAGGGGGACTGTAAGTGGCATGGCGGGTCTTAGCCGTGAAGGTTAGACCTGACGAAACCAATGAATGTAGTTAGTCTGAGCATTTTCCATGGAACTAGCGATAGAGTGAGCTCGCCACATCCCGCCTGTGAGAGATAGGGTGGGAAATAATTCGTCACCCACAAGGACTTGGAGACGCTTTTGCACTCTATTAAGACTGGAAAGTGAGGAATAGGTAGCTCCCGCCCAACTATGACAAAAGTACAAAAGTACACTATTTTCAGTCTGACCTGGCTCTTTTAAAGGTAGAGAAGCAGCATGATGAGTCAGGTACTTACTAGAAACGTCCATAGAGCTGGCCATTTTATCTGCATCTTTAGCGATGGATCGCACTATTCCACTTGAGGTTAGGTGCGAGTTTGAGACGAAATAATCTCTCAAGGTATGGTACCTCCTCAAGGGGACATCTATTCATCGTGACTGGCAGTAGTTCGAACGGTGATGGAATGTAACGGGATTGGTTTTCGAGGCATTGAATGTGACCAGCCAGTTTTATCCCAGGGAAGTTAGTGCTAGATCGAAAAAGAGGTCAACTGCCAACTTCTGATCGTTAAGTGTTTTGGAGTCTCCTCCAAAATCGAGCGATTTACACCCCATCTATATATATATATATATGTGTGTGTGTGTGTGTGTGTGTAAAGGGCTAGGACACGCAAGCTGATGTGTCTACTCTACCTTTATCGTAGAACTTTAAATCTTGCCACTTGTCTTATCTCTCTCTGTCCTCCGTTTTTTACACAAGTACTTAACTTTTACAAGATGGTTTTGTTACCATCCGACTATTACAAATTAGCCAGAGATAAAATCTAAGTTCTTCCTCGGCGTGCGGAGAGAAACGGTCCAGTCAGACAGCAGTATTTGCTCAGGAGAACGGGGAGCTGTCTCTTTCTTAGACTATAGACTGACTTCGGGCAATTGACATACTGTCTGTACTTTATGGGGGACAGCTTACCGTCAAGTGTATATATGTTTGTAAATACAAATGATTCATTTAACAGGCATACCCATGTTTTCTTTATTTTCATTTTATTATTGTTTGGAATTCGGATGTTCGGACTATTAATATAAAAAAAAACCATGGAAGACTGAATTTCCTACAGCGGTACCTACTCATAACCAATGAGGTGTTCGAACGGTCTTTTCCCGATATCCCGCTATAAAATTCAAATGTTCTAGAAAAAAGGATTTAGAAGGAAAACGCTTCCTTTGAATTTTCCCACCAAGCAGAGGCAAGGAAATCAAACCCGCGATATTTTTGAAATGGTAACTGATTGATCCTGGGGACGCAACATAAACAAGAATGCTGACTGGTGAAGATCACTGTTCATTCCTCGGGATAATAGTCACAAGGACAAGTAAACGAAAAAAAAAAAGGTAAACTTTTGCAGTTGAAAACAATCAGAAACTACTAATTTGTTCTGAAATCAACTTCAAAGAGATTCAGCTTTCGTCACATCTCTACTACAAAACTAATCTTTAGGCCCACCTCACTCACAGCATTCTTCATGATTTGTACAGAAGTTTTCTAGAAGTGAAATTTTGTTAAGGCCTAAATTTCACAATTAGAAGACTTTCACTTTACTGCTGGTATCTCCATAGATTCGTTAAAAACCATGATGAAAAAATGCCCCAAACTTAACAAAGTCCTATCATCAAAATATTTGTTATTATTAAGAGAAAAAAAACCAAAAGACTTTTTAATTATTAAATTATATTTAAGCAAAGATTATTATAGGTAATTTTAGCGTCTTTGTTTTGCGATGAAAAACACATATATTTGGAAATTCTTGCAAAAATCAAATAATTGTTGGATTTTAATGAAAATATAAAGACTTATTTACAAATGAATTAAATTATTTTAGAGATGTTTGTATTTTAGAAAATCCTGGTAAAACATTTTTTACAAGTGTACTTATTTAATTTTAAGAAATTTTGAGAAATGAAACGTTGTGCCACTTAATATTTTAATATATTAGTTAAAAGCAGAACTCCTTGGAGAATTTAAATCATCAATTTCTTTTGTAAAAACAGAACTCCCAGTTACCGAAAATCTAAAACTAAAACATCATTTAATTAGAAAAGCTTTTAATTGTTCTTATGAATAAGATATGTTAAGGACACTATTGTGTTAAGAAAAGTTTTTTTTCGATAAATAATGAATTTTTACAAGAATTGTTTTCCTTTTTTAAAAATTTTAATTAGAATAATTTATAAAATTATAATTATAACAAACTTACTACAATTCAGCGACCATCAATATTTTAAAAAGAGTTTTGAATGTGTGTGCGTGTGTGTATAAACGTCTCGAGTTTTCTAAATACGGACGTCCATACACGACATAACTATAGTTAATTAAAAGCCAAAGTACCTAAATTTCACGACTTAGTGCATGTTATCAATCAACAACTGCTCAATGAAATTCCAGGTGAAGAAAAAAAATTCTATGATGTGGATTCAACTTTGAATGATGAAAAGATTGTGCAATACCCTACAGAATTTTTAAATTCATTAGAATTGCCTGGTATACCGACACACAAGTTAAGCCTAAAAGTTGAATGCCGTATTATATTGCTCCTGAAACTTGATACTCCAAGATTATGTAATGACACAAGACTCTGTGTCAGACACATACAACCTCATGTCGTAGAAGCTGTCATGCTAACAGATAGGGCAAAAAGAGAAATGACTTTCACTCCTAGAATACCCTTTATTCCATCAAATTTTACAACTGAATTTAAAAGGCTTCAATTCCCAGTTAGTGTGTCTTTCGGCATGACTCTTAATAAGTCCCAAGGACAATCACTGGCGGTTGTTGGTCTCAGCCTAACTTCACCTTGCTTTAGCCATGGGCAGTTTTGTGTAAGATGTTCCTTGGATTCAGGAGAATCTCTCTACATCTTAGCACCGGGAGGCAAAAATCAAACATTGTGTATTCACGGGCTTTGCTGTAATCCCATATGCAATTTAAAAGTGAGTTCAAGATGACAATTGCTAAATGATGGTTTCTACTTTTCCTCCAGGAAAAACGGTTTGGTCTGCTTAACAACTAAAACCTACCAAATCTTTTTGCCTCCTAAAATCCAACGTCTGCTCCACGTCCTGGTAAGAGGTAACAGGTTAAAGAAGTGCAATTGCTGGGTATGTTCAACATATTTGATACCCGGGCAACGCCGGGTGGTCCCTGCTAGTTTAATATTAAGAATAATATAATTAAATAAGAGAAAAATGATACTTGTGTGTACAGTGCGGAAAAGAGGAGGAAAAATGTAGGAGGATATTTTCCCCAATTTTTTAACATTACTGGATAGTTCAAAATTTTATTAAAATGCGCTCGGGTTATATCCCTCAAGTAAATTTTACAGATATAGCCATTGTAGTAAAAATTAGATAAACTTCCGTCTGTCAGTCAAGCTACCATCCTGTCAACATCTTAAATAAACACCTACCTCCTTTTTAAAAACGCATTTCTGCGATATTTTAAAACAAAAGTAAGTAATATTTGTTTCAAATCAGATTAATTAAACTTCAAATCAGTTAATATTCTTTAAATAAAATTTCAGGAAAGTATATTTTATTTTTGAAAGATTTTTTTTAATAAAGAGAATTATTGTGCTAACAGATGGCTGAAAAATAGTGCTAAAATCAGCGATATTTAGCGATTTCAAAAGAAAAACTCCTACCAGTCAATTTAAATTAGTTTTGAAATAAAGCAAATTGGAAATATTAAATTTAGTCTATTAGCCTTTCGCTTGAAATTAAAACTAAAAGCTTCAGGATTTTTAATTTTTAAAAAGTCAATGTTTCTATATGGCATCGATAATATTAACCTCCCTAATAATGACTAGAGATGGTCGAATGTACTCGAATAAAAAACATGGACTTTCTCCATAAATTTGATCTGGATATGTGACAATTCAAGCTGGAAAAGTGATAAAAAAAAGACTACGAATCTTGTCAGTCGAATTTTTTATCATTATTTTATTGAGTCTGATACTTATATCCAGGATGTTCAAGACATTGCTGGCATTATTTGATTCAAGAAAAAGAAACGAAACGAAACAGTTTTCGAATTTCACAATTGTATCAACATAGGTTTAAACTTGAAACTAGCATTACAAGATTCAATTATAACGCAACACGTGGAAGCGGTTGTAAAATGCGATAATAAATAATAACAACGATAACATTATAATATGAAAACAGAAAAATTCTTGAAATTCGAATTATATGAATGTGTTAGTCTGTGTGAATGTAGCATGTAGTTAGTATTTATTTACTTACCGTGGTTGTTTATTTTTTCAATTTTTTTCTGAGCGATATTATTTTTGATTAGCTTCTTTGAGAAAAATGATAAAATGATCGAGACGACAATCACCTAAAAATATATCGAAAACAATTTATAATTTTTATTTGTCATAAAAATGTGAGTGTTTTTAATGTATTATTTCGGAAATAAGAGAATTAGAATTCATATTCGGAACATTTACTGGTATATAAAAATTCAACTTCAAAATGAAACAGTAAAATGAATTACAGACATTGTAAATTTAAAATTATAATGATGAATGAAACTAAAAAAAAAACAAGATCTAAATGTGACATGAGTTGGAGTTGGAGCGAATGAGGGTTTGGATTAACGATTAATGAAACATAAGCTGTGCCATGTTCTCGATAATACAAGATGTTAGTAGCGGGAATTCATTGAGGAAGACCCAACAAGAAAATATACAAACTGCCAAAACAGCAGAAAAAAAAGAGAGAGGGAGAGAGAGAGAGAGAGAGAGAGAAAGTAAAATTTTGTCACTTTCTGGCTAATTTAACGGAAAACATAAAATTCACTAAGGTGAAACAATAAAAAAACTAACATAAAAAAGGAATGCTACCTTGGCAACGACAAACGAGTAACACAGAAATACAAATTTTGCCATTTTTCATTGAAAATTTGAACATAAAAACAAACTAATTCGTCACTTAAAAGGCAAAAAGGAGGAACGCAAGTTAAGGACGAATGCACACACACACATACTCATAAAAATATTGTGGAATAACACAGTAATTCCACCTACATTTTACGCGCGCGCGAGTTTTCCTCCCTTCCTTCCACACTTGTGCGTGTGTTCGCGCGCGCCCGCGGATTGCACCCCTTCTTCTCTCGTTAAGCCAGACATAGCAGTAAACAGCCTTTTGGCTGGCGGCGAGGAAGGTTGCCGACTAGCTGCTCCTGATAACGTCTAAAATCAGAATTTGAATTTTTTCCCGCGCGTTTTCCTGCCATCACAAACGTCCACCGTTTCCAACTCAGTTGCATCCCGATTTTCAAGCTAGAAGGACAACTCATTTATTCCGTGCCCCTAACCCATACGCGGGCCGGAATATCTTATTATTAACTAATCAAAACTTCAACATGTCGACCTCACACTTTTCAAAGACTCATTCTCGTCTTGATGTAACCCGCATGTTGAACCTTCTCCGTTTTCAACTAGGAAATGTCGAGTTCCTACGACACCGTCGTCAATATATATTTTTCCAAGACTTATCCCCGTCTTGATGCAACAGCTTGTTGAACCTTTTCTCCATTTTCAACTAGAAAATGTCGAGTTCTTACAACACCGTCGTCAATATTTATTTTTCCAAGACTCAACCTCGTCTTGATGCAAACAACTTTCGAATTTTTCCTCTATTCACTACCCAGAGTTCTACAACACGGTCGCTCTCACACCATTCCAAGACTCTTGATGCAAACAACTTTAATTCTCCCTCAATGAAAGTTGATAATCTGTTCATACACCTTTGAACCTTCTAACTACTTTTGAACCAGTACCTAAAAAAATATTACATACACTCACACTATCAAACCTCACAGTGAGTACTTTTCCTATTTTGTACACATACACCTTTCGTTTAACAAATTTTTCCAGGACTTTCTTTCTGATGAAACTTTTTCCCGCCTTAGCCATCATGGTTTTCTGTTTATTAGCGGAACACTTTTACTAATGGTCTCAACTGTCAAGACAATTACTTGTTTAAATATAATAAAATTTCATATATGTTTTTCAACCAGACGCCTTTTGTCATTTAAAAGGCTATCTACTTGTATTATATTTATGCACTTGTTGAATGACCCTTTTAAACTAAGTTCACTCACGCAATATATTTCCTACTTTGTTTGTGGATTCGGTAGTTTTGTGTAGTGTCTGGCACAAGGCCACTTTTATAATAAACCAGCACTGCACGCTACCGGGTCCGCAACAATATAGTACATAAAAAAATGTCGAGCTACTAAATACCTGTTCCATTCCCATTGAGACACTGCGGAGAACTGGAAAGAATTTGAATACGTACTTTGCTTGAGACAACTCTCGGAAACATGTGAAATTGTTCGATTAAGAGACTCCCTCATCCAAAACAAAATAGTAATACGCGACAATACAGCAAGAGAACGCATACTTAGAGAAAGACTTGAACCAGATAATTTTTTTGTTTAATTTTTTGCAAGGCAAGTAAAGCACTCACACGCAGAGGGTTACTGATTGTGAATGAATATAAGAAAAACATTCAGGAGCGAGAACAATAAAAGAACAGAAGTTAAGAGGACCGAAGATAACGATTGACATTGCATTTCAATTTTTGAAGATCAAAGTGGACTGGAAATCAAAAAGCCGAAAGAGAGTTCCACAAGCGAGAAGTGAGAGAAAGAAATTATTAGCAGGAAACTTATGGTTACATCTAGCCATTTCAACTGTAAAATGATGAGATTTTGTCGCCAATTTAGGATTGCGCTGAAATTACCATAGAGAAGAGTTCATCAAACCAATTACTATGAAAGTATTTATAGAAAAGGCATAGTGAAGCTACATTACACTATGACTGAAGCCGAGATGCTAGGTCAGGACGATTAACATTGCAGATTCTTCTTTGGATTTCATCAAGGATCTCTAAATATATAGTAGGAGCACCAGACCATATGTGGCAGCCACATTCTAAGAATGGACGAATAGTAGACTTATAATTATATCAGATAGATTCTGGCGAGAACTATTGTCAAGCAGGACACAGGAACCATCTGTCCTAACTCTGCCGACCTAGCAATTGATTCGATGTAATCTTTCTACTTCATGTCAACCTGTATATACACACGCTGGAAGGTACCATAACCATTACTACTCAAAGTGAAAAAAACTGGAAGTAATGGCCCGCCAAAATGTTATTGGACTTGTAATGGTTACCACTGACTGGTTCTCAAGCATGGTTATAACACCAAAAAGAAATGGAGGTATTAGAATCTGCGTAGACTTAACATTAAATAACGGGTTGAGAGGAAAATTCATCCCATGAAAAGTGTGGGGACAAAAAGCTGAGAGGTAGTAAATGATTTTCTAAGATGCAAGCTTCTGAAAAATCTCGTTATACAAGCAATCCCAGCTGTTCATAAAGCTTCAGACATCTCTCGGAAGATTCTCTTTTAACCGTCTTCCATTTGGGATAAGCGCTGAACCAGAAAATTTCCAAATAATGATGTAAAACATCTTGGAGTGACTGGACAGAGTAGTATGTCATACATATAACATTTGGGCACATGGCTCTAACCATAAGATTCACAACGAACGTGCCCCGTAACGAATATCCAGCAATCAGGTATGACTGAACGAAAAATGCAAGTTCTCACAAAGCAAAATAAAGTTTCTCGGCCACATAATTCCGGAAAATGGAATTTAACAAAGACCTAGAAAAAAAAAAATGAAACAATGAGGGAATTCCCATAACAGTCAAAATACTTCAACGGTTCACTGATATGTTAAACCAATTAGCAAAGTTTATTCCAAATCTAGTCTCATTAATGAGCCTTTACGGCAAATGCTTAGGAAAAACCAACTCTGGATATGGGACCAGCCTCAGATGAAAGCGTTCTGATAATCAAGGAATAATTATTAACCACTGATGTCCTGACACACTACGATCACAACAGGAAAAGCAGCGTGGTAGCAGATGCCAGTCAGGAGGGACTAGGGACAGTTTTTCTGCAAGTAGATGTTATAAAGTTCGTATAACGTTTATAGTTGCTGGTTAGTAAGACTGTAAGGAAAACACTGGAACAAAGAATTGAGTAAGGAAGGGTTTAATCACAGGAGAACATGGATTGAGAATACAGTAGTTCAGTGCGACAAGGGTACGACTGAAAAGTGCTATGCTTTTGCTACCCACTTTTTGCCTGTGTTCCATGGGCAGACGTTCTACTCATAGCGGATGAACGAGTCTATGTTTCAATAATAGATATAGAGAAGATTAGTCAGTCATTCTACACAACAGAAAACAAAAAAGAATTACAGATGAAATAGAGGAACACTCAAATTCTGCCATAGTCTTCATGCCAGCAACTAAACAAAAATACCGGTAACACACTCCCATTATCCACAGAAATGGCTATACGAGACAGTTGTCGGTCAAAATCAAGAAACGTATTGATATGTACTATTATTAATAACAAACAAACAAGAAATTCAAATAAAAGCGTTATATAAACTTGAGGAAGGACGTATAAACGAGACTAGAAAATGATATCTAAACGTAACACGTAGACGGCTAAGGGAGCTGGCGCGAATGAGGTTTGCAGTAGCATAAGCTTTGTTGCGTTCTCGGTAATACAAGAATCATATCTTGCATTTTGTTAAAAATCAAACATTACCAAAATCAGTAAAACGGGGAACCATTTTAAAGTAAAATTAAACTAATTAGAAAAGTAGTAGAAAAGTAAAAATTTGCAAGAAAAAAGCAGAAAAGTAAAATTTGGAAAGATTTCTTAGTTCTTTCTTTTTTATGTGCCATGTCCTTTCAGGACGTAGGCGATCACGGCTCTCCACCTCCCTTGCAGCTCTCAGCAGGCTCCTTCCCTCTACTTCCTCCCTCAGACCACTTTTTGTCATCCACCTGCTCGTCAGGTATGTCACGCGTTGCTTTCCCTTGTCTCTCTTTCCTTCTATTCGACCTGTGAGTATCAGATTCTCCAGGCCCTCCTTCCTCATTATGTGTCCCAGAAAGTTCAGCTGCCTCTTTCTGATGTTAAGTATAAGTCTTCTCCTTGTTTGCAACATCTCTAAAACCTCATCGTTGCTCACATGCTCGGTCCATGATATCCTTAGCAATCTTCTGTAGAACCACATCTTTGTTGCCTCGATTCTCTTCTTCATCTTTGAGGAGACCGTCCAACATTCGATGCCGTAAAAAAGAACAGATGTCACGTAACAGCTTAGTATTCTTTTTTTGTTACCAAAGAAATCCTCCTGTGTCTTGCAACACTTTGCTCAGCTTTTGGAATGTGTCCATTACGTCTACGGATCTCAGCGTCGCACTTACCGTCCTCTGTCAAGACGCTTCCCA